AAAAGAAATCTTTATTTAGGCGTCCTTTGATTTGAAGGTTTTGAGGAGCGTAGAACCACTTCTTAATTGCTTGTGTTCCGAGGTCAAACCCTGACCTGGAGTGGCAGCAGCTGTCAGGGTCCCAGGTATGGGCAAAAAAAAAAAAAATTAGTCAAAACACCATGAAATTATAAAAAATAGTTCTTAATACCAGCAATACTTTTTTGGAAAAGTTTTTACCAGCAATACATTTTTTGAAAAGAAAAATATTAACAGCAATATATTTTTGAACAAAAATATTGCCAGCAATATATTTTAGAAAAAATTTTACCAGCAATGAAAATTTTTTCAGGATTAAATAATCCATTGAGGTTGATATGTCGTTAAACAAAACAAAGCAAACTAATCAGAACTTTTGGAAATCTATATCTGTTTCCGAAACTGGTTTATGTTAGATAACTTGATAAATCTTCTAATTTCCCGGTATTTTTGGGAGGTGCGATAATATTTTTGGAAACGTCTTGTATTGTATTTGAATACTTGTCGGTATTTGAAACTTTTCAGCCGACTGAGAATCTAATTTATTTAACGTTATTCAAAAAGTTATTGACAGACATTTGTAACAAAAATAGACGGATTTTTAGAATATATTATCACTCATATTTTATGTATTTTCTGTTCTTAAATTCTTAGTTATTCAGCATTTATTACATATTTAGCATCATATAACATTTTTTTTATTATTTACGGAATTCGGACTATTGTCATCATCTTTGTCGCCATATTTATTATAACGTTTCAGCCTTTCATTATCTGTCTATATTTCTGAGATGAGGTATTATGTACACTATTTACATTATTCGGACTATTGGCCTCATCTTTGTCGCCATATTTATTACAATGTTTCAGCGGTTTTACACTCCGGCCTTTTTCAGTATCTGTCTATATTTCTGAGATGCGGTATTATCTACACTATTTACATTATTCGGAACATGGTCCTCAACTTTTTTCGCCATATTTATTACAACGTTTCGGCCTTTGTACGCTCCGGTCTTCTTCAGGTGGTTGGACACATGGCACAGTGGATAATGACTTTAGTTATGTCCAGTGACAGGACCCAAAGAGTGTGAGTTCAATATCCGGTTAAGGCAGTGGAGAACTTTCAGAGGGAAAATTAACAGGAGATAACTGATAACTGACATCCATTAAACATGGCACGTGGAACTAGAACACTCTACACCAGTGAGCGAAACAAAAGGTTCAGTTCGACATTCCAACCACCTGAAGAAGGCCGGAGCGTACAACAGCCGAAACGTTATAATAAATATGGCGACAAAGATGAGGACAACAATCCGAATAATGTAAATAATGTACATAATACCTCATCTCAGAAATATAGAGAGATAATCTTGTTTGTCCCTTAGTTACTTAACACGTACGTTGCGTATAGCCATTTCCTTAGATAATAAATGGACCATTCCTGTTTGATTACGATGAAAAAACGGAAGAAAAGATACACCAAAAGCACTATCTTGCTTTGAAATAAGAAAAGGAAGAAAGAAAGAAAAGGAAAACAGACGAGGCGATAACACTCTCATGTGATTATGGTCTGCTTCATTGTAATTGAAATTATTGGCAATTTTGAATCTTTACATTTGTGGATAGATTGTTCTAATTCCACATGCCATGCCTTTTCTTAGATATCTCAGTTTCAGTTAGTTCCCTTTATTGGCCTTCAAAGCAGATGAGCTAAGGTGGATAGTGAGACAGCTATTGGAAAAAGTCAAGCCGCCGAAATCAAACATGACAAAGTTGATGAGGCTGGCATTCAAAACCCTATCCTTTTATTTAACAGAGAATGTAATTTACTAAGATGAAAATGTATACAAAATGCATTAACCACTAGATCATCCACGGTGAATCTATGTCCAGTTTCCTACATTACAACTTTCTTGGCATATCCTCTAATATCACGATTCGGAATATTTAATAACAAAAGTGATGAAATAGGCGTGACTCTGTACCTAAAACATATATTAAAAATAAACTTCAATTTCCAATGAATCCAATACAAACTTCACTCAATTGTAGCCAACAATAACTTGATTGTTTAGCAGTCATTTAAATTGATTACTGAGTCCACCCATATAGGGAAAAACCGCCTAAATAGCGAAAATGGCGACTTTTACTAGTTTCTTACTTTTCATTAGACTTAACAAAATGCTTTATAAATGTTTCCTCTTTTACATCCCTGGTAGCACGTTGACAAATTAAATTTCAATAACTCTAAAATAATTGTGGTTTGAAGAGGGTCTTCATGTTGCCTATTTTACACCTTCATGTCTTCGGCTAATTTTGAATAAAGACAGACTACTTCTGTTATATCAGTAATTGCATTAATTCAAAATGTTTTTTTAATGAAAGTGTTTTAAAGTTTTTGAAGAATATAAACTCTGTTACATACTAAACGCTTTATCTGATCGGCCAACTGGGTATGGCTGCTAGTGTACATACATACATACATACATACATATATATATATATATATATATATATATATATATATATATATAAGAGGTGTAATTATTAGCGAGAAAATTTGGCTTAAAAGACTAGCTTAGCAATGTATATCATTCGTAACACGAACGGTAACTGTCTTCGCTTTCTTTCTAATCTCGAAAGTGTCTCCTACACTTGTCTGCGTTTTGAACATTTCCCTAAAGTCTCGAGGCTTGTCTATCTTCACGTCAATGCGAGCTGTTCAACGAAGGCTTGGCAAAGTCCAATTTAATGGAAGACATGTCAAGAACTGGCTGAGGGCCGTAAAGATGACGAAAGAATCTTAACATCTGAGCCGAAAACGATATTTCACGAAGAGCTTGCCACTCTCTGTAGATCGCTAGAAACTTTCTACTGACTATTTTTGGCGCTGACAGGTCTTTTAATTAGAATTGTCCCTGTAATTCTGACTGGCGTCTGGGACTAACAAGGAATCTGTATTGTAGACAATATCTATGGAACAATAAAATTCAACACAATTCTCTTGAAATCAATATATCGATATATATAGTTCAACCCTTCGACATTGCGACCTACTTATTCTATATTATTGATCGCCCAATAAAAGTTCCAACAGCCAATCAAGATAGAGGGTTAATAGATTAGATTATTGTGCGTAAAAGGAAGGGATAGGTGATCAAGTCAGAAGGAAATATACAATGGATTATGGTTGACACCAAACATCAAGTGTGTAAGAATATAATAATCGGGAAAACAATTTTTCGGTAGTTTTTTCACAACGTAACAGTTGTAAAGCCGAAGTTTTCTGAGTGGAACTTCTTCCTTGTCAATGGAATATAAAAGAAATGAGAATGAGCCGACTCTGTGTACGTGACATAAAAGATCCTAGCTGGGAATGGATGGAGCTAAAAATTGTAACTCGCTCCGTCTGTTGTAGGATTGGTTTGGCTTAGATTTCGCCCTTAATCCAGAAAGGGTTCGTTGGGGCGTCGGCGGTCTGAGCTGCTCAGCAGTCTCCTCCATCTGTCGCGGTCGTATATTGTAACCCAGAGTTGCGACCGATCCGGTATATGGTTGTTTTTTGGTGTGCTCATCATGCGGCGTATCTTGGGCGCTTTAACCTGGCGGAACCTATCCCTCTCCATTTTAGATCGCAACCGATTTCTTCCAAAGTGGTTTGTACTTGGTTAGGTACAAGTAGCCGATGTAGTTCATCTGAAGAACCATTCCGCTCTGGTCCGTGAACTGCATCGAGGAGGTCCTTCACCCAGTGGTGACGTTCAACTTGGAGCCATCACTTGAGAGATTTAGGAGATGGTTAACGACCAGTGACGCACGTCTACTCGAAGGTGCAGTATACCAGATATCAATAGGACTACCTCTGTTCGGAGCCCTTTATGCCCAGTGGATAGAAAATAGTGAACCATCCACAGTAACGGCTAAATGCTTTTTCAAGAAAGGAAAGTGATCATTTAGCAGCTCCATCCCATATACGGCTGATTTAGCCCTAACAGCTTAGTAGGGGAAATTTGGTTGTTCGTAGTGCCTCGAAAACCAAACTAGTGACCTCCCACCTTCACCGATCGGACACAGAACTTTCACCACTAGCAATGAACTAATGTTCCGTCAGAGAGACCGCGTGGTTTGTGCGCCTAGCGGGAATTAAACTCAGCCAAGACCTCAAGTGGATGCTCGATCCAACTTCCATGCTGGAAATGGTCTGTTATCAATGCCGCTGCACAAAGTACCATTCAACTCTGTTACCTTTACAAGAACCAGATCAAGACTGACATGTATATGGGCAGCAGTTGCCCAGTATTCACTTTCTACTCTCGATAGATTTTAAAAGCGTCTCCGCGTCCTTGTGAGCGATGAATTATTTTCCCTCCTGCAATCACAGACGAGACGTCAAAAATCTCTCGCTGGCCTATGGCTATTTCAGATGAACTATATTCCTTGGTCCTAACCTTCACCGGTAAGACCCACCAAGCCACGCCCATTGTAGCGAAACACCCTCATTTCTTTCTTATTTCATTGGTGAGACATATTTTCGACTTTAGCAGATTTTTGTCCACGAACCATTGATGTATTGTAACAGACTTCTAAGGGTCTGCTTACCCAATCACTACAATCTGAAACTCTTCAAATGGTTAATCGTTATCTTCAAAACATACCCGCATAAGCAGTGCATCTAACCCTCTATCTCGAGTGGCCATCGGGGCTTGTTAAGGGTGAACATCACTGTAAAAAATGACAGAAGGAGTCAATTACTGTCTAGAGCGGTAAAATAAACCGATCATTTTTTAAAAAAAATTCAAACGACCTCGTGAATAACGATGTTTCTATTGAGTCCCCGTAAACCTTCAAGGACACTCATTAAGCCGACGACCATTCTTCTGTTAGAAAAAAAACTCGGTGTGAGCGGTGCAATACGGAAACGGTACTAGCTTGCTTTTGGAGATATTGAATGTTACTAGCCAGTTCCTCCACATTGAGGCTTATGACAATATCACATTCAAATACCGGTTTCCGTGTGATCCCTGAAGTTTAGCACCGTCGAGCCTGGTCAGTCCCTAGATGGGTGACCGCTTAGGAATAACAGGTACTGTAAGCTATGATGTACGAGTGGTTTGATGGATAATGACACGGAATTGGTAATTCGTTAGCCGAGATCTAACTTCACTTGGCTTCGTTATATTTACTTACGCGCAAATACCCCGGGTAAAGGTATTGATGTTTTACTTCTCCCTCCGGCTATGGATTAATCATCACCAACTCATTATTATCTCAAAAAAATAAATGTTACAATCTAAAAATATTTTCTGTCTTTAAATCTGCTGCAAAGAGTTGATAAGTCGTAAAAATAATCAGTTGGTCAATCCTCCCCATTTAGTTGTGCCAGCAAGGTCAGACGATAGCTCAGCTGACAGGGTTTGGTCACTAGATGTTTTTAAAGTTTACTCGTAAATTCTAGTACCGTCTTCAAATTAATTGAAACAAAACGAATAATTCCGTTATTATTTACTTTCTTTCATATTATTCCAATGCAACATGACCTTGTGCACATATTAGTATTTTATATGTCCATTCCACGAATTCGTTCCTTGCAGATTGACCACATATTCTCGATTGGATTTAAATCAGGGGAGATTCCGGGACAGTCGATTGTACTTTGATTTGCTAACTGATAAAGCTTGCCAGTGTGTTTGTGCAGCGTTACAATTTTCGTACGCTTCCTTAGAGTAACATCCATCGCAGACAATGTGCGTAGGACAAATAATCGACAATCAAGACAATAGTGTCTGGGTGTGATAAAAATCTGATGCAATCACGGATGACTCAAGATTTTTCATAACCAAACAAATTTTATCATAAACCCCGAAAATAGATTCAGATTACTGCACTTTACTGTAAATGACCTAATTTGAGGAAAAAGAGAAACTGATTACAATCTGTTCTTCCAGTAGATCTAAAACTAACCGTATGTTGAAAGAAAGGAGACTAAAGCGGTTGTTTCAATTAATTTGCACAAGAGAGTATATTGCCCTTTGCTGAGAGAATGTTCTTAGGCAGATCGTTAATATAAAAGAGAAATATGCTCCTCTCAGGAATGTGTTGACGATTCACCATATTCTTGCTCTCTTCTAAGATTCAAGATTAAAATTGGTTAAATCAAGTAAAATACGATTTTTTAATCTAAGTTGAGGCGGTTAACACTAGGATGGCCAGCTCCTTTGACATTTTTATTTCCATTACGCCGTGAAGCAGCCATCTCTAATATATTCAATATTCAAGTCAGGAATAACAAGTCTGAAAAGAAATTCACAAATATTAGTATACCTCATACTGAAAGAAAGTGATTATATATATATATATATATATATATATATATATATATATATATATATATAAATTATGTGTGTGCGTATAGATAGATAGATAAATAGATAGATAGGTGATATAAACACAAGTATTATTGCTTGTGAGAAAATTTTCAATGCATTTATCCTATAAATAGCCTAGGTGTGAAAAACGACACCTCGGCCATTCAAGGTAAAATCTCAAATATCAACTATTCCACTAAATATTTTTTAAAGAATTAAGTCTGTTAAGCATCTTTGCTAAAATTCAATAATTGTCCATAAGCCTCAGCATCGAACCAAAACTAGTTATTCCATAGGAATTTGTTGAAAATTTGAAGGTGTCGAAAAAGATACCTCGGCCATCCTAGTGTTAAAAAGAAAAAGTAGAGAAAGGACTAACCATCAGTTATGAGAAAACTGTATGGTCGTTAGTAAAAGGGATAGTCCATCTTGGCAACGAAAATTAGAGATATCATAATAAAAAATGAACAGAAATTTAATTCTCCGAGAAGTGTTTTGTCAGGCAAGGGAAAACTTGAAAACTCATGGAAATATTGGATGTTTTTTTTTAATGTCAAATTTAGTTGGAAACAAAGAAATCTTGCCGGACTGTAATGTAATATCACTCGTCTTATATGCCAGTGAATGCTGCACAGTCTTTTTACAGGAGAAGAGATTTGAGGCAGAAGAGATGTTGTTTAACAAGAAGATGCTGGCAGTAGAATGGGCTGAGCAAATAATCAACAAAAAAGTTTTAATTAAAATGGGAAGGGAAAGAAAAACACTTGTTTAAATTAAGGAAAAAAACAGTTTTAAGACTGATGGCTGGGAGCATACGGCATTCACATAAGATGCCCAATGTAAAAGGAGCAGATGGAAACACTTAATAGCCTATGAATTGAGCGTGTGCAAATAAATACCAGAGCAATGATTTGAAGTGATATCAATCGGGGAAATATTACTGAGAGCAGCTAATTGCCCGATGACACTTTTTTCATAAAGATTCTCAGATCCAAAAGTTGTATTCCAAATATTCTGCATATGTTATTGAAAATCTTCATTCTTTTGCCGATTAGTACGTATACATTTACGTGGATTATTTTTGTAGTGGAAAAAAACACAAGAGTTAGCGGAAAGTAAATCCACTGCGACATCTCAGTTGCAAGGACCGATGCACATTGCCGGCTATACCATCTTGGAGTGTTCAAATGTTAACCTTTTCAGTCTACAAATCTGTGGTCCTAATTCCTCCTGAACCCCTGAAATTGCACCCTAAGGGGTAATTACCCACGGGTTGAAAAACCCTGTAACAAGTTATAGGAGTTGATAGGTCCGCCTAATGTTCGGTTCACAATCGGAATCGTTTTTTTTTTTTTTGTTTTTTGTTTTTTGTTTTTAACAAGGTTGAAGTGTATTCCTTTTTCCGTTCTTTGTCTGGGGAGATTCCAATGCTGTGAAACTTCGGGGAGCCCTAGCTTGAATGTATTGCTAAAACGGGTGGTGAAACCGGTAACACACAAAATAAACAAAAAAACTATATATTCATAAATTATTTCGAACAAGCTACAGCCAAAGATTTGAGAATTTCATACCATTGAGGCAGTCGTTCTCAACCTATTTTACCCGATAACCCCTTCTCACCATCAGTCAGAATGTCATTCCCCGACTTTCCAAATGTCTGATTCAAAAGGTGCATTCCAAATAATCTTCATATATTATTAGTTGGAACAGTAGAGAGGAAAACTGAATCAGGAGGTCACAACATGCAAGAGGGACCATCATTTTAAATTAGAGCTAAATATGTCAAGTAGAAAAGATCCAACTCAATCCACTAGGCGAATGACACGTGAGACATGGGTTTCATCTATGCCAGGCCAAAGAGCAGTGAAAAACGACTTGAAAATTAAATCGTACGTGAAACGTGTGAGACTTTTGTCCTCCATGACAGAAAGTTAGAAGGTTAGAGAGGGCGAGTCTCATCTTGAATAAGTTGGAAAATTATCTTGGAATAACACACACACACACACACACACACACACACACACACATATATATATATATATATATATATATATATATATATATATATATATAAATTTGAACTTTATTTAAATCCTTCATGAGCTTTCGATCCTTTGCTATGATGAGTTAATGGTAAACATGTCATTTTCGTTTAGGATCGATTTCATCACGATTTTCTTGTTAAACTTGGAGATTAATTAGACATTCTTATTGCTCAAAGTAGAATCTTCTTGAAAAAAATTTCAAGTGGTTTTAAGTTTTTAATCAGGAGTGTATATTGGAATAACAAACTATACCTACCGAAATTTACGCCTTCGGAAATCAAAGGAATGTATTATGAAACATGGAAATTTTGTCAGAGACAAAGGAACAAGTACTGAATAATTATGCAATATTAGACCTCCTATATGGCAGTGAATGCTAGATAACTCATCCTAGATGAAGAAACTTGAAGCAAAAGAAATGTGAGTCTACAGAAGGAAGATGGCAATATAATGGATTGTAAACGTGAGCAATGACGAACATTTCCAGAAAATTGGGATAAATAGGACTTATGTAGAAAGAGACAACTGAAATTTCTAAAGCACATAGCGAGGAAAGGAGCCTTCGAGAATCAGACACTCGCATGACATGCTGAAGAGAAAATGGACAGTGGAAAGCAGCGCAGGACCGACTTTTTTGAGCTTGTGTGAACGGTTAACTGAACAGGGATTAGGACAGAGAGTAAAAAGCCAATATTTAATACAAAGGGCATGAAATTGATGAAAACCATGATCGACAACAATTTGAAGCGACAAGGTATATAGAAGAATGTTTTTTTTTAATCATTTCACCCTAGTTAAGACGGTGATGCCACTGGTACGCAGAGGGTTACAAAAAGTGAAGGATAGAGAAAACAATTGGACATAGAGGGGACCGAAGAAAGGATGAAAGCTGAACGGGGTTCAAGAAGATAGAAGATGGAGATTGACATTGCATCTAAATTATAAAAGATTGTAGTTATCGGGGAAGCAAAGAAATGGAAGGATGTCCCACAGGCAGAGAGTGCGAGAAAAGAAACTGTTGGAGTAGAACTGGCGCTTATATTTACTTAATTCAATACTAAAAATGCGACTTCGATGCCAATCAAGTAGCACGCTTAAACACACGTAATCTGAGCAGCAGAGAAAAAGCTTGTCAGAGCAGTAGCCAACTTGTAGATAAGACAGGAGGAACGCGCATCACGTCGGTGAGAAACTGACTGAAGTCTAGATTATTTAATATCGGTCTTTTTAATTAATTTGTAGCTTTTTTTCTTTGTTTTAAACGCTGGGTAGCAGTAAAAGAAATATTCTGCGTGTGATATCTTTTACGTGCACGTTTGTATATGGAACAACCTTACGTCCACCATTTGAACGACATTAATGCTGATTTATCGTCAATTATTCCGATTAAGAGCGAAAAATTCTAATAGACCAGGGAATACATTACAGGTCCCAAGATATGGTAGCACCCCACCATGTCGCAAAATTCGATTTTCAATCGATTGAATGGAGTAGTAAATCAAACGAAGCACTTGATCGGCAAGCATGTCTATTTCCATGGAAGAAAAACCTTAAAAATTGATTTAAAAATTGTGCAAAGCTATATATCATATGCAATTATAAGATGTTAGATGTACAAGTATAAAAAGAGAATACAATCTTAATTACAGCATAATTATATTTTGCGGTTGCTTTTAAAGTTAA